GCGGCGCCTCGCCCGGCGTCCTCGCTCCGCCTCGCCCCGGTGCCTTCCCGCCTTGTCCCCCTCCCTTGCTCTGGACCCTTCTCTCCGCGTTTCAGTGTAGCCCTTTGTTCTGTGCAGGCGCAGGAATGTCGTTTCTTCCTCCGCGCGGACGCCCTGCTCATGCCCCCAGCGCCTTCGAGCGGAGAGACCCTCAGGTCGGAGCGAGCGAGCGAGCGCCAGCTGCGGCTCCGAGCGGCCGGAGAGGCGCCACGGACCAGCCGAGCCTGGGACATGCGGCCTTGAGGCCTCGGTAGCTGGAGCTCTCTGGGTTGCCACGGCCCTCCTGCCATGACCCCACCGCCCTGGGCTTCAGCAGCCGCTGCTGCTTCTACCTTGTCACTGTATTACAGTCTCCGAGCTAGAAACCACTCACTAGTGTGTAGTTGACTGCAGCAAGCTGAAGGAAACATTACAGACCGCACCAGAAGACAACAAAGCAAGCAAGCAAGCAAATAAAAAAGGGACTGTTTGGATGACTCCTAAAAATGAGTAGCATACATATACATTTACTTAAAGGGCTATCTAAAAACGCTATGTACTTTTTACTCTTTCACTTATAAACCCAGCATATGCTCATTATTTTTATGGAATGCTGAATTGTACTTATAAAATTAATGAATAATAAGAAGAGTTACCAACTCATTCCTAATACACTATGATTTTGTGTTTCATCTAATTTACCCACTCAAAAGATGTAATAGTTAAAATTCACATTACTTTAAATATTTTTATATTTTATGCAATTTAAAGATATATTTAAAATATTTTTTTGATTTTTTTTGGTCCAAATTTAACTTACTTATTCTCTGTGTTCTGCATTCTGCATATTTAATTGGCCTGTTTTTTATACTTCGCTGTAGTATATTTCATATCAAAATGCTTCCCTGATTTTCCATATTTTTTCTTTCTTCTGTTGCTTCATATATGAACATTTTCAGTTCTTTTTAAGAAGTCCCTGTTTTACTTAAATTTAAGTCCTAGCAATATTTCAGTTTACTTTTCTGGAATAAACACTAGATTCTGTTTTGGAGTTTTGTTTTATACACATCAATACTTATGCATATTTACAAATATGTTATGAATACATATATATTTATGCATAAATATATGTAATGCTTGTGTACTTTGTGTCAAAATATATTGTGAATGTTTACTTACACATATATATTTTGCATAAATATAGAACACTTAAATACATACATAAAAATACATAAAAACACATTATGTGATTTACTTGCTGAATTTAATTTACAAATCTGAGCAAAATGTCCACTATATACCCTGGCAGCATATACTTCTCAGATTCAGGAAAATATGCATCTGATGTTTTCCTTTATTATACTACAATAATCCAGAATAAATATGAGTATCTTTTATGTGATTGTAATTATAATTAGGCCTGTGAATCCCATTTACATTCAAACTGTTCTTTTGAACAAAAGTAAAAAAATGTTACAGTTAGTAGAGAAATACATATGACTTTAGATGGCAAAAGTACATTTAGTTGAGATTATATTCACTCTGTGACTGAACTGAATGTACTAATACCAACCTCCAAAAATACAATGTACTGTACAAGTAGACATGGCAGTCTGATATCTGACATTATAATTTCACTTCAGTGTTAGAAACATCCTTTATTCCCCACAACCTATATTTCAATGTCTAGACATGCTTCCTAAAACAGAGGAACATTAGAAAACATTAAACAACCTTCTATATTCTCAAAACCCTATGCAATTACTGAAAACATTTTAATCCATAAGAATCATTATTTATTGATGCCTCTAAATGCAATATCATCCTTTTGTAAGTGTTCCTCTAGTAACTTAAACTCTGGAATACTTTTTGAAAGCATTTCAGCACAACTTTCGAGACATGCAGGGGCTGAGACTTTAGCTAACAGGTTAATTATTGCAAACCCATTCCTCAAAGTGGTCTTATGTTTAGGTCACTCTAAGTGGCTATATAAACAGCTCCTGACAGTTTGTTACTGACAATGTCAGTTCTCTAATGGCTTTATTTATTTTTAAGCCAGAAGCATTTTATCCAGAAAGAAAACATTACTGCTGAATATATTTTTCAATAAAGTTACTTCTACTACAGTCTGGGAGCACTGTCCCACTTTGCACTCTTCCAACACACACCCACACACACCCCAGATTCCAGACAATACAATCTTGGTGAGTTTGGATTACATAGTACTAGAAATAAAATGAGAAAGGAAAACTTCACAAATCTCTCTCTCTCTCTCTTTTCTTTTCTCTTCTCCTTTCCTATTTATTTAATTATTTATTAATTATAGCTTCTCAATGTGCTTCAGTCAGAACTGTGGCCTATTTTTTCCCCATTATACTTACATTTTAAAGCACCATCTTTTTTCAGCACAACTACACATGACAATATATCATTAAGAAAATAATATCAAGACACCTGTCTATTAATAATCACATACTTCTGCAAAGTTATTCTAATTCTATTGAGAGCTTACATGGCAATTTAAATCTAAATTTTAACTTCTACAATAAAGATGTCAATTTGTAAATTAGAAGCAAGTTTAAAATAATTATATGCAAATATTTTACAATGCATTATTTTTAATATTGCAGGGAAAGTAAACGTGGACAGGTGTGCAAATGTTTTTAAACTTACATTTTATCTCTTTTCTTCTAAGATTTGTGGTATATAGACTGACATCATGAAGCTGTCCCTAAACATACTTGATCTGTAGTTTTTATATTGCACATTCTTCAAACAGGGAAAGGGTCTTGGAATCAAGTGATACAGCTAACTAAGGCATCATATGATATGGATCTCTCTCTTTTTTTCCTTTTTTTTTCAAAAGTAAGAAGCGTTTATGTAGTGAAACTCACCTACTCACTTTTATTATTTCTGTTCAGACAGCACTTGCAGCCTGTAAAGCACTAATCTTCTAACCAAAAATTTGCCAGCATTATCATCACTGTGCCACATTGCTTGACGACTGTTGGATACAGGATGTCTTCGCATTAAGCTTAGAGGCAACACCAGTGTCATGTCATCACAGGGTGAGATAAAATCACTAGTAGCTGAGAATGAATGAGGAACATTAATAAATAGAAAAAAAAAAGAGTGTGAAATTCAGTTTACTAAAGTGAGCAGAAATTGAGTGATTAAAATAAGAAATTCTTGAGAAGATTTTAAAGAAACAGTGAATTGCAGGTTGAATGGAAGAACTCTATGTATTGCACTGGACTTACTTTTGCACTGAAAAATGTGCCAGGGCCTCTCTAGCAGCACCGCCTACCTCTGCTTGCAATATATACAAGCTTGTTCAAGTTGAAATCACTCTCCTGGATACAGAGGATCCAAACTTCCTCGAGTTATGAGTGTTTTGGTCTGGAGATCAGTTTCCTCATATGCACATATGTGCAGAGTACTATTCTAGAGACAGAACTGATGTGCATGCTAAAATACAACTTTTATATCAGCACAGTTCAACAGGAAATACAAGTGCCAGGACATAAGTTGCTGTTGCTGCTGCTAATGAGGATCAAAGCAGCATCATTGTGGCAACAGCACCACGTTCTTACTGTACACATTTCAAAACAAAATCATTAGACATGGGCACTGTCACCATACCAGGATGTATCTTTTCTCCCTTGATCCTTCATGTCCACTTTCGGATATCAGGGAGAGATACCTATAAGGCCTCTGCTATAGCCAGGGCAAAGGTCCAAGACCAAAGCAGACAGACCTCATTTTCCACAGAGGACAGGCAGAGCAGCAGTGCTACACCCAGGGGCTAGAGGCTTCATTAGGTTGTGCTACAGCCTCTGCCATTAAATACAGC